GGAAAAGAGAATATGCTGAAGAAACTGCAACTGGATAGGCATTTGTTACCAAATGTATTGTCTTCCTAGATCAGTGGTTCTCAACCTTCCCAATGTGGTGACCCTTTAATACAGTTCATGTTGTGGTGACCCCCAACCATAAAATTGGTGTCTCGGTTCCTAAGGCCATCTAAAATATATGTTTTCTGATGGTCTTAGGCGACCCCTGTGAAAGGGTTGTTCAACCCGCAAAGGGGTCCCGACCCACAGGTTGAGAACCACTGATCTAGGAAGACAATACATTTGGTAACAAATGCCTATCCAGTTGCAGTTTCTTCAGCATATACTCTTTTCCACTGAATTGCAGTTAGTATATTTAAATAGTATAAAACTGTGACTACCACTTTTCACTAAGCTAGTAAGTGGCCTTCTTGGATGCTGTGTCTTCCCTCCACCACCCTGTCTTTCTAGGCACATCTAAACTCCAATGCAGAGTGTCACCAATCTCTTGACCAGGGATCAAGAGGGTGATGGCAGATGGTGGGTCAATCTGTTCTGCTAGTAGACGCTGCTTGAGTGTTGTCTCCCCCAACCCTTTGAGATTTCTGAGTAAGATGAGATATAATTTGTCCCCTTCTCTGGATAGCTTCTCTCTGTGTTCCTTGGGACATCACACTCTGGCTTTGAGCAAATCAGGATCTGAATTGGGAGGAGTCAGATAAAGTCAAGAAATGCCCAAGCTGAAGAAAATCCATTTGTAAAACCATTGAATCTTGTTTGGAACTGCAGAAACTAACAAAACAAATTCCAGATTCCAGTCCATGTAATTGCAAAAATGAATAACATTTCTTTCAAGCTTTCTATGTAAGAAAATCATCTGATGTTTTGTTTAAAATCAGGTTTTACTAGATATTTATAGTCAGGGCTTTGCCAGTGTCCTTTGCCAGTTCTCTCTGGGGAGCAAGACAAATAGGATCTATTGATTATTTTTCATTATCTCTAACTTCTACAATTATGAAATTTCAAAGCCTGTGTTTTCTAATAACTTCCATCTAATTTTAAACTTTGCTTTCCAAAGAGGTGGTCCTACCACCAAATTGCTTGGCATTTCCATGACAATGAAAGCCCTTAGAATACTGTGACATTTTAAAATTCTGTAGGCAATTGATTTTCATTGTTTTATATGTTTCTTATTCTGAACTGTTTGGCTGTGTTTTCATGCCACCCAATTTAAATATTTATTTAAACTCTATGTTCATATTCTAAAGCTTTCTAATTGGATACCTTTGTTATTTCTTCTGTTTGTGGAAAAACAAGTAGATAAAGCAGGATGAAGGCAGGGGTTAGTATGCATTATATACAGTAGTGGAAATGGATAGATAGAATCTGCATCCATTTGGTGATGTATTTACATGCTTTAACTATAGAATTGGATTGGTTCTCCTGTTCTTTTAGATCTGTATTTTCAGCAGATTTGATAAAAGTAATTCCAAATTGCTTTCCTTCTGTAGTTGCTCAGACAGCATGACAGAAGATGGTGAAAAAACCTGATGTGATACCATTGCATCATTGGATAGGGAGTTTTGTAGTTATAGTTTATAAAAGTATTAGTATATATCTTCCAGCATTCTTCACTTAATTCTGAGACTCATTTTAGATGTATATATCAAGAGCACTGGTTTTATATATATATATTTCCTGGTATGGTGGCATGATTGCTGTTTACAAATCTAGCTGTATGTAGGCAGAAAGAATGATGTATAGTCAGGTTAGCAAAAAAGCAGCTATATCAGTGATGAGGTAAATTATGGCACTTTTCCAATTTTGCGTTATGTAATTTTCTTGACAGCAATTCACTGCACCATGCAGAGCAATACAATGCAACTCAGTGCATAGAACATTTGGAAAATGTTTGGAAGTCTTCGTTAAAAACTAATCTGATCAAAGCTTTTTTTAAATGATCAAAAGTTGATAGTTTTCACAATTATAATTCAACATAATGATTCAAGAATGAAACTAAATACAATTGTTTTTATCTGAAAACACCATGAGCTATTTAAAAGTAAACTAAAAATATTCCGTTATTTGCAATGCATATCTACAATTTATTGCTTGATCAGAACTAGGGTCACAAACAGATTTTCAACATAAAATTGCAACATTAGTGAGTCAAGACAGGAAGGAAAAGATAGACAGACTGTGACAAAGCAAAACATCTTATTACTGAGGATTTGGTTTTCTGCTCAAGATATATCTTTTCCATGGATGATTCTTAAATTCTACAATGTTAGAAATACACACTCAGAGAAGTAGCTCACTGACAATGTTTCTAAAATAAATTTGTACTGAAGAAATTGTCATCAATACCTCTTCCCTCAAGAGAAAGTGAAGCTCATTTCCCCCATAACCGTAAGCTGAATTTCCTGAATGTCAAAAAAACAGTTTAAAAATTAACAGACATAAAAATAGCTTGCTTTTATGAATATTGAAGAAAAACTGCACAAAAATCTGCATTCAGCTTATCTATTTTCAAATCCATTATGGCTGCTCCAGGCCACTGTGACTTTTGCTTGAGATCTCCTCAAGCTATACCTGATCCACAGTTTAATGACTTGAAAATTTACATACAATGCCAGACAAGTATCCAAAATCTTCAGTCCAGCCCAGAGCTGGATTGTGAATGCTTCATGTCAGCTTATATAAATTCCAAGTATATTTCCAAATATATGTCCTATGAATCTGTCTTTGCCAAAGATCCTTTCCCAACATCTGCTTAGCTACAAATTTAGAAAAAGATGTGGGTAGAAATTACTGAATCCTAGTACTGGCGAGTCAAATCCATGCAGGACTCTGGAGATAGGAACACTGAAGTATACACCTATTTTTGAGCTATGCAGTTCAGATATGAATGTTCCCACTCTTTGGTACCACCTTAGGACATGATGGGATACCTGTGACTTTCCAGATGTTCCCACACTGCCCAATTGTTACTATCTACCCTCATTGGCCGTATTAGCTAAGGTTTTAGGGACACGCCCATCAGGAGCAACAGGAATGCACTCCAAAAGCATTCGTTTCTATTTTGCAAAGTTTGGAATATGGATTTACAGCTGCTTTTGGAAAAAAAAGTTATCTGATCTCACTGATGGTATTGTTGCAAAACATCACTGGCATAAGCACTCTAGCATTGAGACTAAACATGTTTTAAATAAAGAAATCCACATATAGTGTTATAAAGTAAGTGCCAGGGGATTTGTGTTTTATTATTTTTCACTTTGATACTAGACACAAACATGGTAATAATCAATCTAAATAGGCATAATCGAGCCGAAATTAAGCACCTTTAGGTTCTACTGATTTAAGGGAGAACAATAAGCACTTAAACTGATTTAGAAGTATATAACTTTAGGTGTATATCATCTACATTGCTTTTTTTTTTTACTAGAAAACCTGCCCATCAGAGTTTCTAGATAATATTTAGCTAAGTGCAGTAATTAATTTCAAATTTAACATTCAAGGCAACAGGTGAGAATAACTACATTTAAATTCAAATGTTTCTGAAACATAATTATTAAGCAGTTACAAACATTAAGATGAATCTTAGCATTATACAGCACATTGCTACACACCATTTATTATGGATGAAGTAGAAATTAACATATCTGATTATTACAGCAGCAAAAATCTACAACTGTTCTGCGCCATGGAATAAGTTCTGAAGCAGCATTTTCAGTTTTAAAGAGAAAAGGCAAAAAGCCATAAATTATTATATTTTAAGAATTCTTTTGAGGCATCCATTAAATTTCTGTGCTTCACTCTCGACAATATATACCCACACAATCCTGCAATTTATACATAGTCTTCAATAATTATGCAGGTAACTGTGAAGTAGGTTTTATGCAGTAGATCTATGCAATTGTGATTAAAGTGCAAAATATTTGGTACAAAGTCTTAATGACTACTGTATCTTGTTTCGATGGACACTGGAGAACTGAGACTGGATCTTCCATTGATGGCAATAGTGTTTGATGGAGGTGCAACCTGAAAAAGAAAATATTGTCAGAATCATAGAAAAAAACCTAGGCCTGGATATATCATCCATTGGCTAGTTTAACATGCATCTGTCTTAAAAGCTATCCCTGAGCAACATCTAATTATCAGGATGAGATATCTACTAGGGACCCCATTCAATAAAGAAGTGTATACAGGTTTGATAAAGGGAGTAATGTGATGTGGTCAGCGAAGCTGAGAAGATTTGGGTTCAAATATTAATCAGTCATTCAGTGGGTGTCTCTGGACAGACATTCTGTTTTACCAAACACTGCAATTTGGTAGGACAAAATGAGATGGAAGAAGCATATCTCCAAGATTAAAAAATAGGAGACAAAAGATGTTAAGATATGAAAGTACAAAATCAAATAGAATTGAGGAATAAAACAGGTTTTAAGGTTGAGAAGATAGTAAAATATTTGGGTATTGCCATGACAATTATGAACTGCATGCTGTTTCAAAATAGTCATGTTAAAACAGAGAGAAATTAAAAAGATATGTTAAAGATGGAACAAAATACAATCATCATTATTGAGGAGAATTTCTGTGATTAAGATGAATGTTTTATCTGGAATGTTATTTTTATTTTACACAATATTTGTCTTGACAACTGATGTATTAGTTAAACAATGGCAGAAGAATTATCTAAATTTGTATGGCAGGGGAAAAACACAAATTAAATATTACAAGAGTACAAAGGAAAGAGAAGGATTGGGTTTACCTGACTTGAAATTACATTTTTTTAATTTATTTATTTATATGTCATACACCTCACTATTGTAATTATATTTCTCTGGCTTGTTGGTCAGTTTGGATGAAAGAATATTGCTGAGAAAATAAAGCTACTGGAGTTAGAAGGACGTGATCAACTGGTCTGGGGACCACAGAGCCCATCAAGTGGCTCATCTTATTAACATTAGCAATAGCAAAAGCATTTAGACTTATATACCGCTTTACAGTCCTCCCTAAGTGGTTTTACAGAGTCAGCATATTTCCCACAACAATCTGGGTCCTCATTTTACTCACCTCGGAAGGATGGAAGGCTTGAGCCTGGTAAGATTTGAACTGCCAAATTGCAGGCAACCAGCAGTCAGCAAAAGTAGCCTGCAGTACTGCACTCTAACCACTGCGCCACCATGGCTCATCAGTATTACATTAATTTACAGATTATGAGTTGGAAAAGAGATCTTTATGAACACACACGTACATTTAAATGATTTGGAATGTATCTTCCTGCTATTTAGAAATCTATTGAAATTTGTTCGTGTTTTCTAGCCCAGCACTTTAGCCACTATTAGTACTCTATGGCTCTGTCCACTGTGCAACTATTTTGCTTCTATCATTCTCCAAAATCTTATTCTGATTCAGTTGAAAATGACAGACATGCGGCTTTTTTTTGGGGGGGGGGGATTAATAGATCCTGCAAAGCTGCAATCAGTGAGTGAAGCCAACAGATACATGAATGAGGTATACATTTTGCTTTTTAAAAAGATGATTTTAAAACAAAGCATTATCTTAATGGGAAGAGACTAATCATATGATGGAAACATCCTGGAGAGATAAATAGCTACAAGCCTTGCCCTCTTTTGACCCATTTGATTAGCAATTAATGAGGGCTTAATTCAATAGAAATAAAACTGCAGCACAAAAGGTCACAGAGTTTGGCTCTGCACCCAAACAAGTTATTAAAAGGAGGAAAATGTTTGACTGACAGGAGAAACAGTTTTTTGCCTCATTTCTTAAATACTTGGCAGTTAACTAGAGCACCTGACAGACCTTTTACCTGATTTACTAGAGTAAACTATTGGCTCAACATCCTGTTTCTCCTTGCTCTCCATACACAAAGGAATCAAGGAGCCTGCCAGCCTTCTGACATGAAGGGTTTAATTCTCTCACATGCAACAGGCCTTGTTTTAAAAAGCTAAAGTGACATTTTGCAGCCACAGCCTGACATCATCTTCACAAGAGGCACAAAAATAAATTTGATACCACAGCTTTCTCATCCCATATCGTTAGTGCAAAAGTCTAATCAACAGGCTACACTTTTTATTTTGGGGAGGAGGGGGTTCTTCAATGAAGAACAACTGAGGAAAATCTGAAACAACTTCTAAAAATGAATGGATCTAAATAGGCTGATTCTGACCATATTAGTTAACCTTAGCGCCTATTCTCTTTACAATGCACAGTTTTCAAAATGAATGGACGCATGGCCTTAGTTACTCTTCATTTTTCACTATTTATTTACTTATCAAATCAAACCCGGAGAGGGCCTCACAGCAGTCAAAGGAAAAAAACCCACCAAGTGACAATAGAATTACCAAGTAGCAGAATATCACAGCTCATTATAAGAACAATGGAAAACATGCAGGGAGCCAGCTCACATTCCACTCTTCCCAAGGAACTGTTGGAAAACTTTCATCTTCAAAGCTTTACAAAAACCCAACAGATTTGGGGTCATACAGACATCAGAAGGAATGCTATTCCAGAGAATCTTATCTTATCACGTGGGCAGAAACAATTAAAAGAGCCCCCCCCCAAAGGTATCCAAACCCCATGAAGTGACAATCAACCTTTTGAATTGCAACTGGAATCTAATTGGTCAAAACAACGGTGCTATGCAGAAGGGAGTATGAAACAATGACATTACACAGAAAAAATGAGATATGACTATAATTATTTTTCCATCCCTGTGTTTTGGACCAATGCAGTTTCTGAGTAGACTGCAAGGTAGCCAAATGTGGAGGGCACTGCAATAATCCAAACAGGTGGTGATTAAGGCCTCCCAGCCCAGAATAGCAATAGCACTTATACTTGTATACCATTTTGCAGTGCTTTATAGCTGTCTCTTAAGAGTCCCCAACAATTTGGGTCCTTATTTTACTGACCTTGGAAGGATGGAAGGCTGCATCAACCTTGAGCAGGTGAGAATCAAACTGCCGAACTGCTAGCAGTGAGCAGAAGTAGCCTGCAATACTGTATTGCATTCTAACCGCTGTGCCATCATGGCTCAGAATACAAGTTGCAATTGGAGTACCAAATGAATCTCTGGCCATGGTTGCCAATTATATGTTGAATAAGAACTTACAGTCTATGGAACTCCTGAATTGCATGCATGTTCTGCCTGAAGAAGCGCAATCCCACTGAGAACGGAAGTTGAAAAATGCTTGAAACCAAAGCCATTCGGTCTTGCCAAAATTAAACCTAAGCCTGCTCCTCTCCATCCAGCTCTCAGCCACTGAAACTAGACCTTACTTGCAGTGCCTCTTTGTCTTGGGATTAAGTTGTAAATCTGGTATCATCTGCACAGTGATAATACCTGAATCTGTATTAATGTGGGTGTTAGATACAAATGGGAAGATGGGGAGCTCCAAGGAACCCTGCAAGGCCAATGTTTCTGTCCTGTCCCACTCTCTGACCCTGGAGAAAGAAGGGTCCCTATAATTCAGAACTCCCCATATCTAACCCCTGGAAGTGAAGGGCTTAGAAGGCTACTGTGATCAATCATCCTGAAAGCTGCTATCAGCAATATAGGGCAACTCAATCCAGAAAATCAACTCTACCAAAAGACTAGATGTCAGGGTTCCAAATAGGATCCAAAACTAAATCAGAGTCCAAGGCAAAGTATTGCTCAAAGTTCCAATTTATTAAGAGAGCCATGTTGGCACATCTGGGAAAACCCGAATCTGAAGCTTACCCATTTTCCCCACCAGGTTTTCCCCACCCAAGTTCAAGATCTTGCCCCACACCCACAATCCAACCACATGGTCCAATCTTCCACTGCCATGCTGGCAGTTGCATCCATTCAGTTCTGGTCAGGTGCAGAGGTGCAGAAACAAAGGATGGCCTTAGCTTTCTAGAAGGAATTTTGTTTTGGCTACATAGCATCTAACTCTGTACAATCCCCCCTCCCTTTTTTCATACAACAGAAAAGGCATAATAGAATAAATAAAAAGTGTGGCAGGCCAAAGATCCAAAAGGAATATGGCTGCAGGCCTGGCACTAGAACTATGTTTTATTAAGATTAAGATTTATTAATCTATAATAACAGAATCTTGCAAATTTGATTCTGCTATCCTTCATTTCCATCTTATATCCCAGTGAACCAGGGAGCTTTCACCTGTGCCACTTCCAAATAGCATCTTGTTTCCTAGACATTGAAAGGGTGTTTCAGCCCCTCTTTGTCTAGGTAATAGATCTTGTATAGTTCTGTCTACACTTGCTGCGAGATTAAGCAGTAACAGGAGAGTTACACCATCTCTCTCTTCTGGTCCCACCAGAAGTTATCCACAAGCACAATCAGTGATGTCTCAATACTATACCCAATCCCTGTCTGGTAAAAGTTCAGATAATGTATTTCCTAGAGGGTCCACTAGTTACAGCCAACAGAAGCAGGCAGCAACAACAATTAAAACCACAATGGTAGAGACTTTTTTTAACAACACAAAGAATACTGAAAAAAATATCTTAGAATGGCAAACTGTGCAATCACCAAGCTTGCTTGAGAATGTTGAATTCATTGATTCACTTGAGCTAAATTCTCTGTATATAGATTTTGTCCTATTAAGAACTAGACCTCCCCCCCGCAAAAAAAATTCTTTAAAATAATATGCAAAATATTGTGCTGAATATACATGAAAAATATCCAGTATGGTTTTTTTAAGTACCGATTTTGAAACTTGAAGCCTACAAATTCGAAACCGGTGCCGCCACCTTTCTGCTTTACTGCCTTGATTTTTAAGAAGATACCGAGTTAACTATCTGCTTCAAAGGCTGAAGAGATTTAGGGAAGATGGAAGTGCAGGTATGAAGCCAATTTATGAAAGACTTTAACTTGGAAAATACAAATGAGGAAGACAACTGAAAGAGGGGATGGAAGAAAGGAGAAAGTGACCAGGCAACAGGGGTGGGATCCTGCCAGTTCTAATTCTTCTATAGAAGAGGTTCCACAAATCTACAGTGTCGCTTAGAACCGGTTCCAGCTCCTTCCCCCTGCCCATCCGCACATCATCAAGATGAAGAGCGAGAGGAGGAATTCTGGGAGTTGAAGTCTTAAAGCTGTCAAGTTTGAACACCCCTGGGGTTTTTTTTCCTAAAGGGTTAGGGGTGCAAGGGTGTTGTAACTTGACAGCTTTAAGACTTGCGTGCTTCAATGCCAGAGTTCCTGAGCCAACATGACTGGAGGAGGAATTCTGGGATTTGAAGTCCACAAGTCTTAAAGCTGTCAAGTTTGAACACCCCTGGGTTTTTTTTCTAAAGGGTTAGGGGTTCAAGGGTCTTGTAACTTGACAGCTTTAAGATTTGCATGCTTCAAATGCCAGAGTTTCTGAGCCAACATTTTGGTTGCTAAGCAAGAGCGTTAAGTGAGTTTCACCACATTTTACAAGTTGGCCACGCCCACCCAGTCATATGGCTACCAAGCCACTCCCACTCATCCACATGGATGACAAGCCACTCCCACAAAGCAGGCCACTCCTACAGAAGAGGTTCTAAAAAATTTTGAAACCCACCACTGCCAGGCAAGTAGGAAGAGAGGGAAGTTAAGGGTACAGAACCACCTGCTATCCTCTAAAATGGGTTAGTTGGTTATTGTTTCCATAACAAAGGAGTAATGATATAGTGTATAGTTAATTATATACTAGGTTTAGTATATAATTGTCAGATCATTGTCAGAAACAGCAATTTTGAACACTGATCTATTTCCTATTGGCATAATTTAAAAAATAATAATCACACGTTCACAAGATTCGCTCATCAATCATCATATTCTGAGTATTACACTGATTTTGAAAGCAGCACTATAAATCTCCTGCTGTTGATTTAATGCTGAGCGGGAGAAGGGAGGACAGCGACTCACCCGCCTCAATTTGGCAGCAGCCTCTCCAGAGCGGATTGCAGCCAGCAAGCTCTGGTGGATCTGTTCTGGGTCAGGGTGTTGGACTGCTGCAGCAATGCTTCTCTCACAGATAGCGGTGGCTGGATGGTTGCGTAAAGGGGGAGCCTGCCTGTTTTGGTCATAGCTTGCATCGTTAGTCTTCTGCTGGGTTAAAACATGGCCCAAGTAAGGTTAGCGGAGTACGTTACCATCATTCCGAGCACACGTTCAAAGAGCTATAGGTTTCTAACTACAAAGCATTGTAACGCCCAACACATTTATTAAGCTTTTATGGATCCAGAATAATAAATCATTCATTTATTATTATTTGGGGAGTGGGGCATAAAATTCAGGTAACATACACGACTGCCTAATGTTGGATAAATAACTTACTCAAACATTCCAGTAAGAAGAGATAGAACTGGGGGTAGGGGAGGGGCAAAGCCACCATGAATGTATGTTAAATACAAGTTTTACCTTGTCGGTCAGGATCTGCTGTGTCTGAGTTGTTGGACTCAGTATAGGTGAATCATCCTTTACTTCAGTGCTGGATGGTGATGTGCTAAGATCAAGAGAAGATTGTTCTTTTAATGGTCTGGTTGTATTGGTGCATGTTTTACTGAAGGACTGTGATCTTTTAACTGCTGATGATACAGCAAGAGCAAAAGGAGAAGGTTTAGGAGGAGAATATGGCTGTGGCAAAACAAAAGTCCTCAAAGTTTTCAAATGTAATGGCGAAAGCTGGGATGAAGGAGAATTCAGTGGTTGAGACACTTTTACAGGAGAAGTGGAGACTTTTCTTTCTTCTTCATGGCATCCGTTTTCAGTAGTTTCCTCAGGTAACTGAGAAGGAATGGGAATTGGTTTAGGTAGTGGAGGGTAAGGTTGATCTGGAGATGCCACCTTTTTCTCCGCCTCTACAGTCTTGGCTTCATTCTGAATAGGGGCGCTTAGAGAGCCACTTTTTTTCAAATGCAATGGAGAAAGCTGGGATGAAGGAGAATTCAATGGTTGAGACACTTTTACAGGAGAAGTGGAGAGTTTTCTTTCTTCTTCATGGCAACCGTTTTCAGTAGTTTCCTCGGGTAACTGAGAAGGAACGGGAATTGGTTTAGGTAGTGGAGGGCAAAGTTGATCTGGAGATGCCACCTTTTTCTCCGCCTCTACAGTCTTGGCTTCATTCTGAATAGGGGCGCTTAGAGAGGCACTTCTTGCAATGGCAGAAGTTACATAATGATCTGTGGTCCTCCTCTGTATTTGCAAATAAAAACTGCTTGGTCTTATCGGGGGACTCAAAATTTTTGGTTTTTCTTGCACTGCAGGTGGAGAACTTTTATTCCCTGAATTTACAATTAAGGGAGGAATCCGGTGGTCTTGATTAGGCTTGGGGTGTTCTACCTCCATTTTCTGGCCTTTGGCATTGGAGAAGGAAACTGGGCTATGATCAGCAGCCGGGTATGTTTTAGGCGGCGGATCTCTCCCTACCTTGTGTTGTATAACTTCATTCTTAAAATCAGGTTCTGTTTGACATGGTGTTTTTGAGATATGAGCAGTCTCTGTTTGTGTGCCAAATTCTTGGGAATTTTCATTCCTGGGAGATACTGCTGCTTCTTGGTATTCCACAGGATCTAATTCCCAATTCTTCGCTGTTTCCAAACTCTTGGGAGGTACTATTTTGTAAGTAGTCATTCCAACTTTGGGTATGTAGTCTCTGGTAATTTCATTGGAAGGCTTAGGTTTAGGCTTTGAACCTTGTCTGTAAACTGGGTACGTTTTTGTAGGAGAACTAACTGGGCTTCTGACCATTGTCTCCGGGAGAACTTGGTTATCATTTACAAATGCATTGTCATGGGTGCCATTAGGATTCACACTGTTTTGGTCTGCTTGTCCTATGGACTTATTCATCATATTCAGGGCTCCTGAGGAATGTTTTTTCTGTACTGGCTTGTGTCCATGAGTTGAATTTTTGTGAGGGATCAGTGCACGGCCCTGATGATTGCTGCTTTCATTTAATGCAGTCAGATCAAAATTATCTTCAGATATGGTCTGAATTGCGACATCCTGAGTCTTTGTTAGATCTACATTGATCTGATCACATTTTTGATCATTCACCCCATTTAGAGAGGTGTCATCCAGTGTCTCAGGCTTGTTATTTTTCCCTATTTCTTCCTTACTGAGTTTGTTAGAAGGCAGAGAATATGCTGGTTCTTTATGACCTTTTAAAAAAGGGAAACATGATTTTGACATTAGCACAGAGAAGAAAAACTCTTTGAATCACATATCACTCTTTTTCATTAAAACGGTACTAAGCATAATTCCCTTAAAATAAATTTCATTGCTTATACCAAACTGCCATTTGTTGGGCTGATTTCACAATCGATACCTGGCAGACCCAAAATAGCTTATTAGTACTATAACTAATACTAGTATTAATATTATATCAGTACAGTACTAATATTGATAACTATATTAGTACTGTATTAGCAGGGATGGGATTCAGCCAGTCCGGGTGAACCAGATACTAATTTTACATGTGGTTCGCCAAACCGGTAGTTGCAAGGGCTGGCTGGCCCCACCCACTCTTTCCCTCCCTTCCTCAGAGTCTCCACATGACCCATTTTGGATGCCAGATACATGCAGGGCCCATACAGAGGCTCTGGGAGGGGGAAAAACGAGCCTCCCAGAAGTTCTGGAAGTACAGAAATGGGCCCATTTCTGGCCTTCCAAGGGCCTCCGGAGCCTTGGGGAGGCTGTTTTTGCCCTCCCAGAGGCTCGAAAGAAGCTTTCAGAGCCTGGGGAGGGCATAAACTCCCATGGTGCAGGAAGCCGAGTAGGCCACATACACCATGGCCACACCCACTCAGCAACTAGGCAGAGAACCAGTTGCTAAAATTTTTGAATCACACCCCTGTGTATTAGTATAGTACTAATACTAGTAACGGCAGGCAGGATTTTAAGATTGCTAATTTATATGACTTAAGAATGACCACAAAAGGAGAATAAGAAGAATTCCTCGGTGCCACTAAGCTTAATCAGCATTCCCAGAATGTTAGAGAGAAAATTCCCTTGCATGAGCAATTCACAGAAAAAAAACTGCAGGGATTGTCTCCTGATTTTCAAGACATTACATGAAGGATACGTTCATAATTCTGATAAAGAGAAACTCACCATTATTTGTGTTTGGCTGTAATGTTCCAAGTGCAGTACCATTGGGAATGCTAACTCTTTCTCTCAGTATTTCACTATCTTGAGCTCTGCAAAACAAGACAAAAATACTAGGGAGAGGACTATTGACAAACAGATGAAAAAAGCCCCACAAACAAAAGATAATTTGTTTTGACAGAAAAATAGCCAAAGGCAGAGCAGAATATAGGTAGTCCTCAGGTTACAACAATACGGAATGAGGAGAACTTACAATGGATCCTTAGAATTCTAGCCACTGCAACATCCCTGCAGTCATGTGATCATGATCCTGGTGCTTGGCACCCAGCTTGCAATTATGATGAAGCAATAAGCCATGATCATGTGATTGTGATTTCCAATGTTTCCTGCTGGCTTCCCACAAGTAAAGTCAATGGGGAAGCCAGTAGGAAATCGAAACTCACTCCCATATGAGGTTCTTGCTTAGTGACCCATACGGTCCTCATTTAATGACAGCAGCAGGTCTGCTGAATTACTGTCACTAAGCAATACAATCACATGATGCTATGCTTTCTAACTATGTTACTTAACAATGTGATTCCCAGTCCCAATAGCCCCAGAATTACATGTGGTAATATGGGTAGACAATAAATTCGACGGTTAAGTAAGTAAGTTAAGTAAGTAAGTAATCAACCAACCCTAGGACTACCTGTAATGACAATAATGAACCATAAAATAATAACATGGTCCCTATGCTAAAATGTACACATAAATTCAGCTTATGACTCAAGAACTGAAGAAAACAATGAAAATGAAAGGACTTTAAAGACTAATATATTTTTATAGCTTAGGTTTTTGTGGATTTGAGTATTCTAGCTGGCAGGTATATAAGGATATTGAAAAGACAAATATAGCTAGAGAAAATCAAGAAATGAAAAAAGTTTGGACTGCAATAGTTACATTAATCTTTAAATTTAAGGAAAATAAGTATAAATAAGCGGTGCTCATTGAAGCCCAAGCTTTCTGGTATGGATAGACTAATCTATTATTTACAGTATGATAAAATTTTATTTTGAGGACACAGTTGACAGAATCAAATTTCTAGAAAGCTGAAACCTGAATCTCCCTTGACCAAATCTTTAGGTAGAAGTTGTGACTCTCCATGGCCTGTGACCTTGTGCTATCAACTCCTGCAGGTTATTACTTAAGCACATTTCTTTCAGGTTCTTAAGAATGTAAACTGCATTGTGTAACTTGGCAGAAACACAGCATATAAATGTAAAAGTAAATAATCTTAAATTTTGCTGAGATTTTGGAAATAAAATAAAGCAAGAGTTGTATATACTAGAAAGCCATTTCATTGCCAGGAGCTGCAGATAAGTTTTATTTTTTGAACTTTTTATGGGTTTGGTTCTCAGGAGGTATGATGATAATAAAGGAGATACGCTTGAGATTTTTGGCATGTTTTAGAAGGAGGGGCTCTGTTTTGTTTTACAGGGAGATTTAGCCCTATGACCATTCATTCAATGATCATTCTAAGTACCACTGTACTGTAAGAATGATGGCTGTGACTGGTCATTAGCGCTCCAGTCATCTCAACACTTCTGCAGTCAAATGATGTGTCAATATCTGAGACAGCGCACCATTCACAGTTGCCACAACACACTGTTTCAGAGTTGCCACACACGCGGGGAGGAGGTGCACAGGTGGGTGGCGGGTGATGGGACTCAGGGGGAGTGGAACCAGGAAGGCAAGCCAACTGTGGTCAGTTCAGAAGCCATCCCGGCCCAAAGAGTACTTGCTGGAACTGGGCCTGAAAAATACTTGCTGGTCAGGGAGCAACTAGGCTCCAGCAAGAGTACTTCCTGGAGGCCCAGCAAGAGTAATTTCTGGAGCCGGATGGGAACAACGGGGAGCAGGAAGGTGGGGCGTGCTGATTCCATATAACCAGCTGGCTAGCAGAAGCCAGTAATGCTGGCTAGAAACCCTTTTACATGTATTGTTCACCACATGCCAAGCTAAGACTCCAGTAAAGAGATCTGTTCTGCTCAAGAATGGAATCCAATGGAGGCTTAAGCATATAGTCTAGTGCAGTGGTAGTCAACCTGGTCCCTACCACCCACTAGTGGGCGTTCCTGCTTTCATGATGGACGGTAGGGGTTTGCTGTAACTCTGCTTTATAAACTTCTTTTGCTGGCTTGGCTTGGGACCATGACATGATCACAATCTGGATGCTGAGCAAGAAGTTTTGCTCTCCTGTTACAACCTTGCCACATCTCCCTTACACCTTTGCACACCTTCTTGCACTCCTCTGCGCCATACCCTCCCTGACTCATCACAACTTCCCAAAACCATACCAATCCTTACATACTCCCTTGCATCTTTGTGCACCCTCCCCAACCCTTCCATGTCCCCATGCGTGGCACGACAAAACCGCGCTCGTCAAAATAGCGGTGATAAAACCGCGTCGCTAAACCCGCGACGTCATCACCGTGCGTCATCACCGCCGCGACTACAGCACGGCGACAGAAGGGCGCTTTAAAACAGCGCGGCAGCAGAAAGCCGATTTAAATTAAGGTAAGGGTAAGGGTTAGGTTTAGGGTTAGGTTTAGGG